ATGGCTTGAGACAAAGCTGTGCTCCGGTCGGTCCACGTCTGACAGGGCAAAAGGCTCCTGTCTGCTGACAGGGGGAAGAGATATCACATACACACAACTCCTATTATATACACTCTACTTAATCTGTATTTTTTGTATTTTTATTTATTCATTTGTATATTTTTGCTTGATTTGATTCTAACTTGACACTGTTTGCCCTTTAAGCTGCTGGTAACCTTAATTTCCTGAGGGAGTCTTCCCAAGGGATCAATAAAGTACTGTCTAAGTCTAAGTCTAAGTCTAAGATGTCCATCATTCTCCAGAACCACCAACCTTTTTGGTTCAGGTTCTGGACAGGTAAAAAAAAAAAAAGAGATGATGTTAAATTCAGTCAAAGGCAGTGGTGGGGTCTCTAGTATTGTAAAAAGACTGGGAAATAAAATGTTTTGTATCTGAGATCCAAAATAATAAAGTAGGCTTTCATTAACAAAAACTCCCTGTTAACCATTTTCACGGAGCATTTACACTTTATAACTCAGGTTAGCCGGTTTTTCCTGAGTATCACACATTAAAGGATAATATCATTTTAGTAAGAAAGCTATTTAACATTTCTTTGAGTCAAAAGACTCTCAATAGACTCGTATGTTAAAGGAATTGTCTCTAAATTTTTTGGCTGTAATGTTGTTTAATACAAAACGACACAGGAAAGTGTAACAGCGATTAATGACTGAATAAAAAAATTAAAACTGAACAGAATGGTGCACAGACATATACACATAGACGCCGCACTGAGGGCTGAATCGTCGCCGCCATCTTGGATGTGGCAAATGGGAGAATCTGAGTCAGCGATCAGACAGTGAACCGGTGTAAATCTCAGGGTTTTATATCAACAGGCTTCTCCAAAGGCTGTCCTGGGATGTGTGCCGAGGTAGTTTGGTGTCTGATGCTGTACCCGCATCATCAGAGCTGCTCACCCTAAAAAACAAAGGATGTGATTCCACAAACTGAGGCCAAGCTGAAGATCCTAAAGTTTCCGAGTGCCAACATATGAAAAAACTGCGTAAGAGTATTAACGATTAATAAAAATCAGTTATGTAAATGTTTGTGCTGTTTATCCAGAAAACCCTGAAGTCACATCTTTTCAGGATCTGGTTATTATGGACCCAGATTACATGTTAAATTTCAATATTTATATTACAGTAACAGAGTTACACGCATTAGGAAACATTTAGAATCATAACTTTAAAAGTTACGGACGGTTTTTTGGTGCCAATTTGCTTCACAGATATATTAGTGTGAGTGTGAAATGGTGAATAGAGTGCAATAAGTTAAAGCACTTTGTAGAAAGGCGCTTTATGGTTTTCAGTCCGTTTCCTTTTATTAGTTTACGGGCAGTTCTGCCAAATCCAAGATGGCGGACGCTCTGACGTTTCACTGCAGCGGACCAATAGGCTCAAGGCGGAAGTGACGTTTATTTGTTTACGTTTTCTTCGGCTTGCTTAGCTCCGGTAATTAGCTGTTAGCAAACTGTGCTGTGATATTCTGGAATTATCCCACATAGAAATCACATAATGGCAGCACATGACAAAGCACCGTGTGAATGAAGTCTTTTGAGAGTTAAAAAACCCCTTAAACCAGACTGACTAGCGTCAGTTTTTAAAAATGGAACATTTGGGCAGAGTTTGGGGTTTATCTTGAACTTTAAAGGTTGATGCTCAAATGTATTGAATAAAACCATATAATATGAGACATTAGAGCCACTCTTTACCTCAGCAGTTTGTGAACTTTTGTTTAAACATATATTCTCTGTATAAAACAACAAACTGGCTCTGAAACAAACTCAGTCAGTACAGAATGTGGGATGAAGAAGTTATTTACAAAGGGAAGTTTACTCATCATTAGATTTAATCACTGTTGATTTTAACTTGTAAAACAAAATTGAACATACCTTTTTAAGAAGCACTCCACCTGAAACTATTACAGTTCTTCTCTAATATAAAAATAATTTGTTTATCACATCTTTACCAGTTAATTTTCGATCATGGATAACAAATATAAACAAATAACAAATATTGTCCTCATATTATCTGTATACAAACATGAAATAATCATTTGATCATCAATCATTTTACATCATTTGATTTACTGCAACAAAAGTTTTTCATCTTTTGTCAGTGACACCTTTCTTTTAAACGTATTTATGTCTATCGCTGTTTTTTTCCGTCCTACAAAAAAACAGAAACTAACAGAAAACGTACAGAACAGCTTCAGAAACTCTTCAGAGAAAATGCTGTTACCTCTGTACGTGTGTATAGAATCATTACACACAGACACACAAAGAACATGAAAGGCTAAATATATTCTAACATCAAATCAAGATTGTACTGTTGATTTGTTTCTAAGGTTTGAAAAGTTTCAAATGTAAATCCAGATAGAAAATACAGACCAACAATAATGAGAAGTTGATGGAAGAATAATTGGAAGAACTCAAAGTTTACTTTTTTTTTTAAACATAAACTAATGATGGAGTTTTTTTTTACACCACGTTTTTTTGTCTCCTGCTCAACTTAAAAAACAAAACTGCATTTCTGATTTAGAATCTATTTGTCTAATTAAAGACACATTCATTTGAAAGAAAATTCATTAAAACCGTTTCACCAACAATTTAACAAATTTTAATATCAGAGGTTTTAGCGTCTCCAGCTGGACCAACTCCAAAAAAAGGGAAGAGTTTTTCAGTGAAAGTGTCTCTGTGAGTGTAGATGGGAGTCATGTCTTCAGAGTTGTAGAAGGACACCTCCCCCATGTCATAGTCCAGCTGGACTCTGATCCTCTGGAGACTCTTCTTCACTGTCACGGTCTTACCAACACTATTGGTATATTTTCCATCACCATGCCATAAACACCAGATTCCATATTCTGGTGAAGCAGATCGCTTTCCCTTCCTGTTAACTGACTCTTTAACCAAACCCACTCTCCAGCGTGGATGATCTCCCACCTCCACCTCCCAGCTGTGTGTCCCTGAGCTGAAGCCCTCAGAGCCAAACACATCGCTGTACTTAGTGTTTCTCTCTGGGTTTTCAGGAAGCTTCTGCTTTGTGTCTCCACATCTCACGCTGGTCAGATCATCAGACAGATAGAGAAAGCCGTTTGCCGTGTTTGGGTCCAGAATGACTGGACTGAAGTGGAGCTTCTCCTTGATCTGCTCCCAGACTCTGAAGGACAG